GCAGGAAAAGGAGTAAAAACAGATGATGCTGTTTGGAGGATGAAACCATGCATCTGTTCAGGAAGCTAGTATAACTGCATAGGCTGAGAATTGTTAGCTATGGTATTTCCCTCGTGCCCATGAAAGAAGACACCGCAGATTTGAAAAGCCTTCTGGTTTCTGAAATCTGTGGCTGTTGGTAGGAATATAGCTGCTGCTACTGAAGTATCATTGCCTCTCTCTGCAGAATCTCTCAAACTAAATGCTGTATATATTTTCCTTTGCAAAAAAAAGGTCCTGTTTTGCACAAGTTCTTATACTAAAAATATAGGAAGATTTATTCTTTCAAGAAATGTATAAAAACTCATTTGTAGAAGAAAAGGAAAGAAGCACTTTCAGGAATTCTGGGCCTTATTCCTGACTCTCCAGTGACTCATTTTGTGACCTGGGATGAGTTACCTAAGTTCTCTGTGTCTCCCATCTGTAAAATGGAGCAAAAATACCTACCTCACAGGGGTGTTGTGAGGCTTTATTAATTAATTTTTGTAAAGTGCTTTGAGATCCTTGGATGAAAGGTGTTGTTGGAAATCCAATGCTTCTTCATTTTTATAGTGCAGTGCAGGACTTTTTAGATTTTCAGGTGGTTGAAGGAACCTGACTTTTTATAACGCTCCCCAAAAGTATCAAAATAGCCAGCATAGCAGGACACCTTGTTGTCTGTTATTTCTATAAGGATATATAAAAAAAAAAGCAACTTCCATGGTAAAAACAGTTTGGGTTTTGACTTGTCACAAAACGTTGTGTTATTTTTGATTCACCACAAAACTACTCCCTCCAGGCTACAAGGTACCAGTTTCTTTCACTAAAACAGAAATGTTCAAGACTTTTAAAAAGATAGGCACACAGTGTCTAGTACTAATGACATGTTCTTTAATTACATGCAGGCAGACCCACTAACATAAATTAGCTCATGCCATAAAGTCACAGCTTCTAGTAGGGGAATGGCATATAACCTTTCTCAGGGAAGAACCAGGAGACTTCCTAATTGCACTTCTCCAATCCCAGCACAATCCATGACTCTTCTTAGAAGGATGCACAAATCTGTGTGTACCCACTCAGCCAAACTGACTGGACATTGCCCACTCCCTACCCACTTTTGCCTAAGTTGTTCCCTGGAGAAACATTTTGTTAGTAGCTCAAGAGCTTTTCTGAATGGAAATGCTACGATTTTGGCCAGAGCTTCCAAAGTCTGTGTAGGAGATATGATAAGAGGTTTACTTCTTCCTCATACTGTGTGGTCTTATAACAGCCATCCAAAATCCAGCCCACAAATAGTGTGAAGAGTCCTGATAAAATAGCTATTATTATTAAATACCAAAAAATACGAAGAACTAATTAAATTTTCAGTTTTAAAAATAAATAAACAATAAGTAAAGGAAGAAAATGTTAGAGCTGAATTAAAGTGAAGTAAAGTGGTGAAGTAATTTTACCACACTATTGGACTATGTTTCCAGAGTCATGTAAACAAAAATACATAGTAATCCAGGGTTACATGCATTACACATGCAGAGTATTTTGCATTCTGGCCTCAAGTAGCAAAGCACATAAACATATGCTTAAATACTTTACTGGACTGGCCAAAGGGCTTAACACCTCAACTAGGAGACAGAGTAGACCTGGACGCACTTCTCAAAAAATACCCAAACCTTTATATAGACAAGAAACATTCCTCTAGAAGTGCAGTGAGTTTTAAAGAAATCCATAGTGGAAGAAGCAAGAACACATGAAAAATACTAAGAGGAGGAACAAAGCTTGAATAAAAGGATTTATTCTCCTGCTTCCCTTACCCAGAAGTTATACTTTACATTTTTTTCCTCCATCATCTATTTTTCTTTTTCTTTTTAAGGTTGAACAGGCAGGAGAGTTGAAATAGGTATTACCAAACAAATAGAATAAGCAATATTATAGTTACAGCTTTCACCCAGCTTCACCAATGCTCAAAAGGAATTTACATGTCTTCACTCATACAGTATGTGAATCATATTTTGACTTTTCACTACCATGTAGGAAAAGTATAGCACATTCTTCCCATTGGTAATCATTGACATGCCCATCATTCCAGTAAAAAACCCTTCTTTATTAAACAAACCCAAATTTCAAAGGTTTAAAAAGTATCACATAGCACACTCAGTGTGTACATGACCTTTACTAATAAGTATTAACTGAGATAATATACATCTTCATATCCTAGGTTTCAGTACACTGTGGGTGCATCTGCACAATTTTTTTACTGTGCAGCTGCCTAATTAGCTCATCAATAAAGTCTCAGCATCTACACATGCGGTCCTCTTAGGCTGCAGTGAAGTTAACTCCACCATAGGTTAGTACTTGTAAATACACGTACTATCCTACAGCAGTGTTCTTTAGTGTGTAGTAATGCCTGTGTAGATGTTGACGGGGCTGGCTGAGGCTTCAGAGTGTGGGTTGCCTGCTGCCTAGCCCCACGCTGGAGCACACTTGTGCCCCAGGCAACCCCTCTGCAGCATGTTGAGCTGAGTCGGAGCAGCTCCAGGATGGCTTGCTGACCCCCCACAAGGCTCCCTGCCAGCTGGGGCTGCAACCCCTCTCAACATGCTGTGGCCCCAGGCACACGTATAAACATGGTGCCCATGATCAATAAACTCTGGCGCAATATACACCAGAGTTTAATGTATCGCATTAATTTCATGTGTAGACTCAAACTTGTACTAGCATCACAAGTTATTATGGATGTCTAGTCCTAGGCTTAACATCACTGGCATTTTTCTGAGATATGGCTCTCTGCCTCATTAATTGCTTTTGCTTCTCCTTCTACATATCAGACAGCCGCAGTTAGCTGTAGGTATTCTATACCGATCAGATATTTCAAAGCAGCATTTGCACTGAATATTTTTCATGGGAATGATCCATAGCGCTAACATTCACAATAACATGAGGTTCATTTGTAAATTTAATTTTAGAATATGATAGTTAAATTGTTAAAAGCATTTGTTTTTCAAAAAATCCAGAATAATAGTTCAGTAATCCTTAACTACCTACTTCTCAGCAAACAAGTAAGAGGGAAGGATTTTAAATGGGGATCTGAACTGTATCTTACTGTCTTGCACTGAGAAACCTTAATCAGATCTACCTCATTTTTAGTGAACCCAAGCCATAAGTGGGAATGTTCACTATCCCGAGAATAACAGATTTCTCAAATAAAACAAAGATAAAAAGAACTCTATCAGTGACTTAAGCTTTCTAAACAGCTGAACTTAACACACACAGTCACTTAATAATCCTCCATGCTATATTTAAGGAACCCCAGTGTATATTAGACAATATATAACTTAAGAATCTCTGCTCTTTTTTTTGAAAACATAGGTTACTCATCTTTGTGCATCAGTTCCGCTGCTTAACTACAGCCTGCTATCATCCCAGGATCCCTAAACCACTATGTAGAAAGAACATTATCTTATGACTGTTGAGCTTTGTATTTAAAATTCTGATTTGTTCTTTTGTCCACCAGCCTCAAGAACGTATTCACTTATTCCAAAAGCATGCCTGTCAGAAAATGTTAATATATTAAATTATCTTGCTACCTGAAATTTCTCACTACATTTCATTTAACCCCGAACACAAAGGTCACAGCTTAGAAACTGTTGCATATTTAGCTCTACCAATCTTGAAAAAAAGACTGAGTCCATTTCATAGTATCTTGACTTAGGTCAGCTCTTGAACCAGGTGTTAATTGACACAACTCCATTGATTCCTTTAAATTTACACTGGCTGAAAAGCTGGCCCACTATGTCATTCTAATTACTACTATGGGAAAAATTTTAATAGCTGTGTTTACCTGTTACATACAAATGCCTGCAGCAAATATGCAAAGTGTTATTTGAGTAATTATCAAAGTATAGTTTACATTGAGTTCATTACTTAGTCAGCTTTAAATTTATTTTAAGACCTTATATCATGGTGACACATTTTAACTTTTGAGTTACCATAAGATATATCAAAAAACATTCTGTGTATCTCATACTGACTCCTTTGTTCAGAGTTGCCCCCCAGCCATTTAGTAGCTACCAGAACTAAACTGAGTAAAAAGAGTTTCTCTGTGCTATGATAATGTAATATACAGCATAACATGCCAACAGTGTTGTTATCTAGCATTGCCGCTATATAGGACAGGCATTTTGGTGTAGAACCAATATCATATATTTAAAACAATCTAGCTGGGAGATAGCACAGAAATTTATATTTGTGTTGTATATACAAGTCCTTCTACCTTCCTTTTCTGTAATTATTATCTTACATTTTTTCACTTTTAAATAGTGTGTGATAACCAAGCTGATAGACTTTGATTTTTATCTATGGGCACACTTACTAAAATGTACTTTGTACCTCATGATGTATTTGTTTTTATGAGTATTTACATAACATTAATGATGTATATGATGCTTACCGAGAGACAATTCTTGCTTATTCATCAATAAGAAAACCAATCCAATAGTGCTCACTTCTTTATCATCTACCATACCAGGAAATATGGGAATGAGGAAAGTTTAACAAACCTAAAAAAAAATAAAAGAGCATGAATATTATGCTTATTGCAAATCCACTAAAACTGTACAAGAAAAAGGAGAGAAAGGAGAAAAATGAGAATTTATGCCGTAGTATTTTAGAAATAATACTAATTTTTTTTTTAAGTCTTACCAGTTTCAACAGTTTGTTGTAAATTTAGTAAAAGAAATCAATGGTACATAGCAAATATATGAAAATGTCCTTATGGGCTTTAGGAAAATTCACTTAATCAAAGAAGTTTAACTCAACTACACATGGGTCTTAACATTCTAGAGCAACTGTATGATTAACAGTATTTGACATGCAGTTTGTTTCTATCCATGCTATTGCAACAACAGTTCCAATTCTAGCCACTTTTTTCTTTTCTTTTCCTTTTTCTTTCTTTGTTTCTTTCTTTGTTTCTTTCTTTTTTTATGCAGAAGACCATCAAATGAATTGTCACAATACTCGAATAATGCAAGACACAGAAAAGGATGATAACAATAATGACGAGTATGATAATTACGATGAACTGGTGGCCAAGTCATTGTTAAATCTTGGCAAAATTGCAGAGGATGCAGCATACAGAGCCAGGACAGAATCAGAAATGAACAGCAATACATCTAATAGTCTGGAAGATGATAGTGACAAAAATGAAAATATTGGTCGGAAAAGTGAGCTGAGTTTAGATTTAGACAGTGATGTTGTTAGGGAAACAGTGGACTCCCTTAAATTATTAGCACAAGGACATGGTGTAGTGCTTTCAGAAAACATTAATGACAGAAATTATGCAGACAATACTTCACAGCAAGATAACAGGAATATGAACTTTGTAATGCTAGGGAAGCCTGTGAACAATGGACTCGCAGAAAAAATGGTGGAGGAGAGTGATGAAGAGGTGTGCCTCAGCAGTTTGGAATGCTTACGGAACCAATGTTTTGACCTTGCTAGGAAACTCAGTGAGACAAACCCACAGGAAAGAAATCAGCAACAAAATATGAACACCCGTCAACATGTCAGGCAAGAAGATGACTTCCAAGGAAGAACACCAGATCGGAATTACTCTGACATGATGAATTTAATGAGGCTTGAGGAACAGTTGAGCCCCAGATCTAGAACTTTTTCTAGCTGTGCAAAGGAGGATGGGTGTCATGAAAGAGATGATGATACCACCTCTATTACTTCAGACAGATCTGAAGAAGTGTTTGATATGACAAAAGGTAACTTAACGCTGCTTGAGAAAGCTATTGCTTTGGAAACTGAACGAGCAAAAGCCATGAGAGAAAAAATGGCAGTGGAAGCTGGAAGAAGGGACAATATGAGATCATATGAGGAGCAGTCTCCAAGACAACTTTCTGGAGATGACAGGAAGCCTAAATCCAGTGACGGCCATGTCAAAAAGCCATATTATGGTAAAGGTAATATTTCTATATACCGTATGTTGTGTCATGAAAAAGTGTGAGCTAAGTACGGCTTACAACCCTAAAGTGAAGTTATTCATTCCAGAAATGGGATCTTTATTTAATTTGCATTATGATGGCATGATTTGCAAATAAGATCAAGCTATGATCACAAAATAAAATGATTTATTCTGCAGTATTAGAAACATGTACAGTATTTCAGTGCATTACCATTTGGCTAAATTAGAAAAATGTAACTTTTCAGGGAAACCAAACAAATAAGAGATCATGTTGAAAGAGGCAAAGATTTTTCTGAAGTGTTTAATGTGTTTTATAGTAATTATGATTTAAAAACTATAAGGAGAATTGCATTGCTTACCATATTGAATGGTGGAATTTTATGTAGCAGTTAGTCAATCAGCTATGAAGTGCATATTTTACAGATTGGATTGGGTAGGTGGCATCATGATTTATAAAATTATCATCAAATGACAGTAATTGATGAAGCCTCTCCCATCTAAAATATAGAATTACCTGATAGAAATTGAACAGTATCAGAATGACCGATAACATATGATAGGGGCAGTGACTGCACATTAATTATTTTAAGATAGTAAGGTAATGGAAACCATTTGCTATGCAAGGCATGATGTGGCCTGGGCTGAGATCAATAGCAATTTCTTTCTTATATGCATTCCACTTCACTGGTTTCATTCCATTGTGGAAACAGTTAAGGTGCTGCCTTGACCATAATTCAATATAAAAGACAAAAAATAGACAAAAGGTTACTTTAGAATGTGTTTTAATTTAGGGAATTATCCTAGTGATGGTGCGTTTATATTAAAATGCCCCTTTTATGTGTCCACAAATGTACACATAGAAGACCTTTCCTATAAAGTGTGATTTTAATGGCAGGTGAGGGCACAGTATTTCTCAGGAAATGTGAAGTACATTGCAGAATTGGATCCATACTGTAGGCAACACTTGGTTTCCACTTCCATATTTAAAACTGTGGATTTTTTTAATTTTTTTTTCTCAATCTATTTTCAAAGAATGGCCCTAACATATGGTTTTAACTTTAAAGTTAGCAGGTAGTATCTCAACTCAAGATATATTTTTTTAAATTCCAGACTGTAAATAAAATAAAGATAAAAACAGTGTCTCAAAAGTTGTATAATTACAAACATGGAAGTTATTGGTGTCAGTTTCTCTTTTGCAGTGTATCTGAGAGAGGCTTTGCTTGCTTTTAAACACAACTGTATGGTCCACTGACAAACTAGAAAATGGATATTTGAGGAAGACATTTTTATTTAGTTAACTACTACAAAGCCATGTGTTTTTTTGTACGAAGTACTGGTTGCACGTGACATATAGCAGGTGTATATTTGCCTCTTAATGTGTGGACATAAAAAAACCCATAGAGAATATGGAAAACCAATACTATTATTTTACAATCCTTAGAACAGAAGTATTTTCCAGACCGTGGATGCTTAGGGAAACACACAAACATATATATCTGCAGTCTTCAAAAGCCTAAAATTGCTTCTGACAATGGAGAAAATGTGGACTTCAAATTTCAGTGATTTCTAGAGTTTCTATGAAGTGATCCTGTCTCTAAGAGTGAATTAAATATATGCCCAAATAGAAGCCCTGGACCAAAAGACAACCCTGAAATTTGTGGTAGTTTGAATCAAGAAATGTTATGGGTGGGCTCCTTCTCTATCTGTAAAAAAGAAGAATTAGGAAAAGAAGAATAATTCAGTGATTTAGAAAGGCGAATGAAAGAAAGAGCCTTGTGTATTATCATTCATTCTCATATCACATATAATCTCCCAAACATGCCAAGAAAGTTTTTTTAAGGAGATGAATGATACAGCTAAATGGAAACATTCTCAGTGTATAAGGGAACAGTGAGGATTGGAGTTCCTGATTCTTCCTTTAGGACCTCTGCTCTTAGAGATCACTGAAACAATAAAGCAACAAAGCAATGAAGGAATGGCAAATCACCTTTTTTCCTTACCATTTAAAATCTTCTTGAGAAGCTTTCCTCCAAGATGTATGACTTGTAAAACCTTACAAGCTTTTTCTGGCAATCTTCATTCAGGTGAAACTCACCATGGCAAGGATTAAGGGTAAAGATTGCAAAATTGGACTAAAAAAAATAATTGAGTAGCTTTCTCTATCAAACAGAACTGAGTACCCATAATAATCTACACATATATATATTGAGAGGTGAATATAATCCTTGCCCCTGTGTTGTGTATAAAGCCGCATAGAATTTTAGCTGGATGCCTTCCATATAAGTCGATTGGAAACTGTGAAAATAAAATTCTGTACAAATTTTTGAAAATGTAAGTTTAGTGTACAGCATCTTTTCTAACTTGTTAGACCATAAAGGCTCTTCAGGAGCTGCTTTACTCTATAATGCTAAAGATCTGAATACAAAAGATATTTGCCTGACACTGTTAGGATATAAGTGAAGCTATGCTGAATATTCACTACCTGAAGTTCTAATCTAAGGACTCCAGAGAAGCCATTATGGTCTATTGTATCAATCACCTGCATTTTTAGTAGTCCTTGAATACTGTTATACTGACATATTTTTATTTTATTTCTTTTTATTATTTATTCACTTGTCTAACATGCTTCACACATTTCAAAGTGCTTTGCACAAAGAGTTGCACAGTATTTATTGTGTGTGTGGACAGGAGTGTGATTGGTGGTCTAGTGGTCTCAGCACAGGCCTATGTGGTTAAAACTCTTGAGTTCAAATCCCAGCATTAACACTGACTCCTTCTGTGGCCTTGGGTTTAACTGTTTAATCTCTGTATTGTTTTCCCCAAAGTGTAAACTGAGGATTATGGCATTTATCTACTTCACAGAGGTGATGTGATATTTCTGTGACTGGACAGAGCCTTAAAAATGGAATTTAATATACAGTATATATATCCTTACTATTATAAAGCAGAAAACATAGTGCTGCACTATGTAGTCAATATATATGCAAATTTACAATAAACTGTTAATTAGAAATGTGTTTACAAAAGCTGAGTTTTAAAGATTGAAATTAGGCCAGAAGAGCAATCACCTGGTAAGGAAGTTCACAAAAACTAAGATGGTTGAGTAAGAGTTTGGAATTTAGAATATGCAAAAACCCCATGAAGAATATAAACTGTGGATTGAATGTACACTGTATCCCCCAGAAAGTACCACAGTACCACTGGTACTGAATGGTTCCTTTGATGCCATTGGGGCTGCCATTATTCAGACTGGGGCTGAATTTGAGCCTAAGACTTAGCAGAAGCCAAATAGCAAAATCTTTTTAAAGGAAAAAGCATAAATCCTGAAGCAAAGCAATAAAAGGAGCAACATAAAATACATAAATGATGATATAGATCAGCGTGGGTGCTGAAGTCAGGATGGACTGAAAGGGTGATGATGGTTGATTTTAGCCAGTGTGAGCCACAGTCTTAGTACTTAGAATAACTTGAACATTATTTCCTAGATACTAATGTACAGATCAGTAATAGTCTCCAAAACATGGTAAGAGTGATCAAGATGATGTGGTATAACTTGCAGTATGTGTTGGGTTGGAAGATGCTACTTTACAAATGTTCTGTTTACATGAAACAAGCTGATGAAATATGTGATCAAGTTCTTGTTCAGGAGTAATTTCACCAGCAGTTCCATTACTTTCTTGGCATAAAACATTCGTTTGTTGAACAAAAATCTGCTTAGGTCCTTCCATTGATTTGTATATAAAGAAACTGAGAGCTTCATAAAAAATTATTAACCTTTTAATCTTATGAATATACAAACATTATGAAAGCATGACTGTAATAGCCCAATTATACTTACAGTACTTCTGATCAGATGGTTTTACCCCATCATAGTTTGTTGGAGAGAAAATGTTTTATAAAAGTTCCTGTGCTTCATAAGGAATTCAGGGAAAACAGTGTCATCTGCTTAGAGTGCCTTTGAAATAGGCTTTATTTGTGCTGAATCACTGAATCAGTATGCTAAGGAGCTGGATCTGCTACTCTCTTGAGACTGAAACTCTATGACAGCACATTTGCAGACTTTAATACATCCAGAAAATAGCACTGAAAAGAAGGGGGAGTCCAGCTAAACAGTTCCTGAGTGACCTTTTACCCTTTAGCTGATGATTTCCAGCAGAACATTGATTGACAGAGGTGATTTTGCTATAAAAAAGGTCACTACCTAATGACTATGACTGGATATTGCTGTGATCATAGGAGCGTGCCATTTGAAAAGAAAATAATGGAATAAAAGCAACAAAACTGTGTTAAGAAATAGAAGTTTGTTCTTTCAGTTTTCTTAAAAACATTTACCAAAGAATAACTTATATCACTTATAGCATTAAATGAACCTTCGTACAGACATGTGGAAAGGATCATTCACTTGACACATTTGTTGTAAATTATAGATCCCTCAAGAACAGAAAAGAAAGAGAGCAAATGTCCTACCCCTGGGTGTGATGGAACTGGCCATGTAACGGGGCTTTACCCCCATCACCGCAGTTTGTCAGGATGCCCACACAAAGATAGGGTCCCTCCAGAAAGTAAGTCCACATTGTTTCATGGAAACTGGGGATAAAACTCCAAAGATTTTTCTAGCATGCTTTCTATACCTTTTATTTATTTACTTCCATTTTCCAGTATGGTATGTCTCAATTTAGCAACCTGTTCTGTGTTATAGGGGTTTTTTTTCTTTATACCATCATTTTCATATTTCTACTAACTTTTACACTAAAAAGAACAACTTTTAAAGCTGTATTCTTTGATTTGGGAAATATGAGGTTATTTTGAAAGAGGTTCAGTCAAAGACAGTATCACACCATGAACCAGCCATGTCTTGCATTAAAACATGTTTGGAGAATTAATTTGCTTTCATTACTACTGTTTCTAGCTTGTAATAAGGAGATATAGATGGAAAAAAATCCAAATCAGCAATTTTGCTCATAAAACAACTCAGAATTTTAGACCATGTTCTATTGTCAGTTAGGGTGGTCCAGGTTCCCCCAAAGTCGACGAGTTCTGTGAGTACTGAAGACAACAGAATTTGCACTTAAACAAAAATGAGCATTTAGTTCCAAATGTATATGGCCAGATTAGTCAAATTGTATAAATTGGCGTATTGCCTTTGAAGTCAATTATGACATGCTGATTTACACCAGCTGAGGTTCTGGCTAGGATCTGATTCACTTTCTTAATGATAAATAAACACATTTCAATAAGTTAAAAGGGGTAACTGTCCATGTGCCTGGGCTTAACACACAGTAACCGATAGCTAAACTTTGGTAATTTATCTCAGTGAAATGGAGGTAATTTACTATAGCTTAGCACAGGGCTACCCAACTTCTAAGTGTCCTGGGGCTGAAAGTCCTGAGGCCCGTATCAGCAGGGTTCCCACAGGTCACGCCAAGGTAACCCATGGACCCTCAGGGTGCAGACAGCATGGCGCCAACCCCATTCTTGCTGCACCTTGTGACCATACTCCCCCTCCCCATGTATGCTGCCCCCTGCACAGAGCACCTATGCAGCCCACAGGCTCATCCTCAGTTCCCCCAGCCATACTGCCCTGCTCTGCCCACTCCCTGGGGTTGGGGGGCAGGCAGTGAATACTGGAGGGCAGCACAGTGGGGGCGGGGGGGAGGAGCAGCAGCTAAATCAATGGGAGAACACCAGCTGGACAAGAGCCAGAAGTTAACCTCTTGTAGACCATCAGTTGGGTAGCACTGGTTTAGCTTTCACTTACTACAAAGTAAATGAGGCGCAGTTATCATGGAGCAGCTGATGTACTTTAAGACCCTGCCACCTTTAGCTCATTGTAATGTGTTTGCATATCTACAGCTTTACTCACAATGATGTAAAACTTTAGTTACTTGTTGTCTGCCACTTGAAGTCTGTGGACTTGATTCTCCACAGCCTCACAGCATAGTCATATAAGCTTGTGTAAATATAAATGCAACATGGGTCCCAATCATTCCAAATTAGAATGGCAGCATTTGGCACCCATTTTGCTCAGATATAAATAACTGCACAAATTTGAGTGCAGAGAGGACTCAGACCCTGTTGATTGACACTGGTGTGAACAAGTGCAAGAAAGAGGAAAATCAAGCCGTTAAGGACATTGTTACACATTAATTTTGGGCAGCTTCTGGAGCTTTTAACCCCTGGATTGTCTGTACGTGAACACATTTAAGTGGTTTAAAGCACACTCATTATGCGGCTCAAAATTACGCCACTCCAGGGCAGGATCATCTCTTGATCCACATAATACAACACCTGTTCCATTATGATGTGGTCACTCCTCAAAGATGTGATGCCCAAATTGAAGGTGTGACTGGAAGCTAGCACTAAGTCTATCAACATTTATTTAGCTCATAGTGTAACATGTAATCCAGGCCCTCCTAAGATGTATACCTTTCTGATCAAGGTATCTGACCAAGTCCAGTGTACAGTTACAATTTTATACTCATGTGGCACTGTTACCTTCAGTGGATATACACAAGCATAAACCTTGATTAATGTCTGAAGTAGGTCCAGAATTCACAAGGAAGGGGTGGGCTCAAAAGGAGAGGAAGCCAGAAATAAATTAGCACAGAGTGAAAGGCAGACCCAGACACCAGGTTCTCTTATAGCAGGACGGCTTTTCACACAACTAATATAATGAGGAAGTATGTTAGGGAAGTCCCTAGTATCTTGGCTACTCTCTGAGTAGTATAGAATAAATTACTTTTTTTTCCATTTTGCAAGACCCATAATTTTCTAAAGCGCAACTATTTACTCAGGTGCTTAAAGTTCTCTCTCCTTTTTTGTTAATGGTAAATATAAAGCTCTTTAGAATCTGTAAATCAAAGAAGAATATAGCTTTAAACTGTTTGCATGTTCTGTAGCTATACTAAAATTAAAAAGGTGAGCTCATCTTTTTATTTTTTTTCTGTGATGCTGGACTTGTGAAGCATGTTTCAAAACAGCTGTAAATAGCAGGAATTTCAGCGTAAAAGATTTTTGCATCTGCACACTTTTTGGTACACATTTTAATATGCTGCTGGTGGAGTGATGACAATGATTATCTGTGGTTAAATCCTCAAGTCTCAATGCTGTTTTTATTCAGTTCTCTGCTCAGCTGAAGGATCAGTTGATTTCATTAGAATTCTTCTGAGGGAGAACTAAATAAAGCCTATTAATACAATAGGAGAAAGGATGGTCATCTTAGTAAGTTAATGCATTAGCCATCTAGCTCTGAAGACATGGATTCTAATATGTCTCATGTCGTACAAAAGAACTTGTCTCAGTCTATTTTCTGTTTAATGTATCTTCACATTACAAAACCACTTGATTAGAGCAACATTATAAGAACAAGTGTTGCAATTCAGAAAATAATTGCCTTGACCAAGTTTGCGGGTACATTTTGCACCCAACTTGCAATGGATGCCCATGTAAATCCATTGACTTGCTTAAAGCTAGTGCATTAATCTCTACAGCAACTCTCAACCTAAAAGAGTGCTTGGGTGTTTCTTTTCCTTTTTTTTTTCAATTTACATCCAGTATAATAATATAACATTTGCAGAGATTTAATATAGACATAAAGGAACCAATTCTGCTCATTTTTCTGTAACTGGCAGTACCCATTGCCCAAAACAGGAATTAAACGCCTATGGCTTTGGGCAGAATGGGTCCTGGTTAAATGAGTTGACTTTCATAATTATAGTCAAATCCTGTTCTCAGTTGTACTGATTTAAATCTGAAGTAACTCAATATATTGAAAGTACAACTGAGAGCAGACTTTCATCTGTTTGCTCCATATTTTGTGCACATAACTGTGTATTAAGAATGCATACACATCCTGAAAAAATGTGACCAATCCATACTTCAGTACTGGGCTGTTCCTAATCCACATTTTATTATTGAGCTGATCACTGTTCAGCACTTATGCATGAAGATGTTGGGAATCTCCTGCTTCACCCTGCACCAGAGACACATTAATTATTAGACACTGTAACCTCCATAACTCTCACCATCCAATGTTATCCTGTGTTAATGAGTATAGGGTCACAATACCTCTTTTCCCTTTTTCAGGTTTTATTGGCGATGTGTGTTGTGTGTATTTTGAGGAATGATGGTTGTTAATGAATCCTGCTTTGTTTTAAAATGTTTTCATATATACTGGGACATGATTTTTTCTTGTTTTCATACTCTGCTGTTTTCTCTTACTCTCCTTGTCAAGTTCTTGCCATGCATGAAAATGTTCTTAAGTGTCCTACACCAGGCTGCACAGGTCGGGGCCACGTAAATAGCAACAGGAATTCTCACAGAAGGTAAGGAAGCTATCGTTGGACTATAGTCTAAAGGGAACAGTGCTTCAGAACTGCAGCCCTTCTGGCAGTCTGTTTGGAGGCTGTGTGTGTGCATGTGTGGTTTTGTTGTTTTGTTTTGAACCTGACAGATGGTGCTTAGTGTGCTTTATTCTCTTTAAAGAGTAAATTCCTTAACTTATAAGGGGGATAGATGTCCAGATAGATACTTCAGTGTAGACTTAAGCATTTTAAGAATTGTTTCCTTATGTTGTGGTTTTTATTTTACTTGTTTTTTTCTGGTATTACTTGAACTATAGTTGTTTTAAAAAGAACACTGTGACTCTTTAGTGGTATGACACAGAAGAAAGGGCAAAGATTGTAAACATGATCGAGACTGGGACAGAGTTCTTTTTTAACACAACGGTTGTTTCTATCAGTGTTGATTATATAATGTGTGAAAAATTCCACTCGATTCAGAAAACTCCCTTTGTATGGATAAATGAGAAAGAGCACTTTAAGTCTGGCACTATCAAAAGGATCAACCTTCAGGCCTTACTCAGGCACATTTAAATGGGAGTTCTACCTGAGTAAGAAACATTATAAAAAAGCCTGTAAAATTGAAAAAAGGAGGAAGTCAATATATTGTTGCATATAAATTATTCCAGTAAAATTTCTTATAGGATTTTTTAAAAATCATCCTATAAACCCTCACAAAATGAATGTAATTTCCTCTTAAATTTGGGGGAATAATATATATTTTTAAATCTATTAAAAAATAGTTTTTCTTCACATTATGGTTTTTTCCATAAGAAAAACAAGGCCTGTATTGTAGTTTTCTATATAAAAATGCAGGGAAGGTAGGCAGAAAGTACTGGAAATACACCAGGTTACCTTCTAGATTATTTTCAGCAAGGAGCTGTAGGGGACTACTGAAGATACTGGAGGTATGGACCATGAAGTTTGCAGAGTTCTGGTTTACTGGACTATCTCATTTCAACTACGTGTATCCTAGAATCCCCCTACAGGGGACCTACCCTTTGTGATGTGCTTTGACACCCCCTTCTTCTCTGCAATTATATTTCCACTGGCTGCAGCAAAAGCCCCAGAGAAGATTCCATGGGAACCAATGCTGCTTGAAGCAGCATTAACTTCTGTTTGGATATCTGCTAGGATATCCAATGTGTGTAATGACAACATGTCAGGAGAGTGTACGACTTTGAAGTTGCAGAGTCCCTCTAACCTCTCTCTGCAGAACTGACCCAGAGGGATTTCCATGGGTACCCAGGGTGGAGCCAGGGGTGGTGGTGTAGAGCATTCTGCAGAGTCTGTGCTTACATCTTTCTGCAGCTATTGGGGCATTTTGCTCTGCTTACCTTTTTTCTGTAGAGAAGGAGCATCTGGGGATGCACTGATTTGCCTTTCACTATAATTTCTTTTTCTATGGAAAACACAGGGAGCTTCGGTCACATAAGCATGCAAAAACTATGATAAGAGAAATACCCCCTCCATTGTTAGATCACAAGTTTTTACATATTCTCTAAGAGCACCATCTGCTGGCACCAATCAATATATTTTCCACTGTTCTAAATCTATTCCAGTAGAAGCAGACTTATTATTGTCACTTCAAACATAGTTCAGGATTTGCAAATTAGAGTTCAAGTGCACATGTCTGGATTCTTTTCATGTAACATCAACTGGAATTAGAGCACTCTTTCAGTACTTTAAATCCATGAATAAACATCAAGAATAATATATTTTAGACCTAGACTTTGAGACACTAGGCCAAATTCTGCACTGAGTTCTACACCTCACAGCTAAATTTGAGGTAATTACGCTGATTGACCTGTGAAGCAGCACAGAATTTGGCCTGTATGGTGTTGTCATTAAGTAATCTTCAGTGACCATCTTTGTGGCAGCACTCACATGAGTCTGAAGGGCAAAATTCTGCTAATAGAGCTGCATAGATTTCAGCTGATATTCTTTTCCTCTTACTTGAATGTCCATTGACTGCTGTCTCTGAGTGTTCTGCCCGTCTTTAGTATGGGGAGAACAATAATGGTTATGAGATCTGATGTGCAGCTTTGAAGCAGAATGTTGCTCAAGGAAAGGAAGTCTATTCTAGAGGAAACATATATGATGCAAAAGATTTTGGAAACTTTTTTCCTCCAGATTCTTCCTCATGCTGCCTAAGGAGGAAAAGGAGTAATTGGATCAGTGCTATAATGTGAAACTACTCAGGACAAGACAATTAAATTTCCTTTCTGTAATTGCAGCCTCTCTGGATGTCCTATTGCTGCAGCAGAGAAACTGGCTAAAGCTCAAGAGAAGCATCAGAACTGTGATGTGTCAAAATCAAACCAGGCATCAGATCGGGTTTTAAGGTATTAGAAATCACTATAATACTTAATACTATGCAGAAATTAATCACACATTAGTTAATTTGAACATTTATATTTATGTACTTTGTACATACATCCATGTATATATATATATCTATATCTATATATATCTCCCTTAAAGAAGAGGTTAGAATCAGGGCTTCTGGATCCAGTTTTCCAACATTTCTTTCCCAACAAATTTACATGGGGGTGGGTTGGTAATTCTTTTGGCAAATACATGTAAAGCTGAAAGGCTCATTTTTGTCTTAGGCATTGTTTGGTGTAAAGATGACTGCTGGAGTGCAAAGTCTAAGAACAGTGTGAAAAAAGTTGGTATCTTTTGGGAATAAACTAATATTTACCGGTAAGTCTTGGTTTTTTCAGCAGGCTTTTACTAGTAAATATCAGTTTAATTGAAAACCAGAAGCCCTACTTGCAATACTAAATTGGCAGTGTACACCTTTCTTCTGAAAAATTGCTTCATGTAGTTTAGATTCCAAAAACACGCAAGGGCTAGTTCATTGTCTGCATCCTCCACCCACACCTACAAACGATGAAGAGTAGAACAGCATTCTTTTGTCCTACACCTGGAGACAGGATGTTGAGCCAGTCTGGTATCATTACACCCTATCTTCATGCATTTGGGATTCTGCATTTATCATAAAATAGAGTTCATTTTTGCAATTTTAAATACCCCCTAGTGTTGGGCCAGGCACAAATGGAGAAAACATGGTTTTTGTTGGAGCTAAGGTTTTAGATGGTAGTGCAAAGGCATTGACTTCTGCATGAATGTGCCAGCCCTACACGGATGATGCCCCAACAGCTGCAGAATTTTCCCACGGATACTGCGATATCGGTGGGTTAGGATGGCAACATCCTTCCCTGCTCTTTGGGAGAATTTGAAGGGACTGTCACAACATACAGCACACAGATTCTCTTAGGCCTCCCATAGGTTTTTCTGCAACAGGTTTTCATTTGTATCTACATTTTAATAGGGTGGCTTAAAATGAAGGTTTCTTGTTGTATTATCAGCATCTTTCTTTGAATATTCTCTGAGTACTTCATCAAACCTTGATGGTCTTTCCTAAAACCTGGGGTGCTTAATAGTTGAGGAGACAGAATGATGTTCTGTATCACTATTCTGACTGTTATCTACTGTATACTGCCTTATTTTTCTTTCCCCAGTGCTTCAACTGGCATTCTCTGAACTATCCAGTTCTGGTTCTGGTTTTGGTTTTATTTTTTTCATATGATGTCCCAGAGACTCTCCTCATAGATTTTATGTTTTTAAAACTAATTATAAAATTATAAAAAACAAATTCATTCAAAAACAAATTTGCAAATCCTCATTAGCAAGAGTAGGGAAACGTAAAATATGTTAGATTTTACATTAGACCAGTGCTCTTCAAAAAGAAGCCACAGGTGCCAGAGAGAGGGACTTCTTTTCAAAAGCAACATCTGGTTCTCTAGTAGATTCCTCAAGTGGTAATTATGACAGTTTTGCTTTTTTTTTTTTTGGCCTATGGGTTGAGCAGATATTTCAGCTCTTGATATGCAGTCGGAGTAATACTGTCATCTCGGGCACTGCTTCTTTTTGACCTTTAACTTATAGAACAATTTAAGATGTGTCCGTCCACAACCAATTGACTGGGGACTTTGTACATTCTAATCCCATGCACTGATTTTGCATTTGTCCTCATTGCATTCCCCCTCTCACCTGTATTTAAAGTGGCTTATTTAAATTGAAGTAACAGTCACAGGATTTCTGTTTTGTTTTGAATGTACAGTATATGAATTGGATTGTTGTTTAAAAGGGCCTAAATGATATCAGGCTAGATACACAGTGTAGTTTATGTCAGTCAGTTGTGTAAGCTGGCCCATTGTATCTTGTGAAATATGAGGTGGGATCTTTCTAAAGAAACGCAGCATGCATAAAAAGAAGATAGTCTGAATGATATAATTTGTTGGATAATTTACACTGAGATCTCTCATCTAATATCTATGAAAATGAATCTGTTTATAAATTCAACATACTAAAATTGTATTAGTGTCTTTTCCCTGTTTATCGTAATCTACTTTATCAGGCAGTTAGACATGATGATTCTTTTGATCTTGACTATATCAATATTCCTATAAATTTCCTTTCCATTTCCTCAGCTTACAGAACTTGGTCAAAGCACTTGATTCTAAGATTCTTAATTCAAACAATATCTCAGGTTTGCAGAAGATCATTAATTCATATTGAAATCAGTGGGATTACAGGGCACTCAGCATTTTAGAGGATTTGCCCTTTGACTGTTATCATTCTTCGCTTTCTTACATGAGTAAGGTCTGTAGGCTCTGGCCCTCATTTGCCTACTTTGCATATTGCAGCCTGCTAACTTCTGCATCTGTGCATCAAAGAGTCAGTACTTGTGGAAGATGGCTCTGTTGCATATATTTCACTAAGTCTTTAGAGACCTCTCAAAATGACTTAACAGAATTGATCAGGAGAGCCAGCTGAGCTTCCCCTCATTTCCCCACTTTCCCCTGGTTCACCCAGTCAATGGGAAACAGAACTGTAGATGATACAGCCTAAGACTATAATAATTTATACTTCCTTCTCTTTGGTGTTGTGAAATTCTTCAGTAGGACTATGGCTGGAGCAGCCTCACCAGGACTCCAGCGTCTGCTACAGTCATGCATATAGGGGTCAGCAGAAGCTGATGAAGCAGAAGTTCAGAAAGTCTCTTGCAAATCTCTCAAGATCAGCATAGATCTGTATATTGAAGGGATGGAACACTACTTGCTTTTATGACAGGACAAACCATTGAGGAAAGTCTACCAATTGATTGGCGCCCTTAGTGCGATGTTACTTCTGACAAAGGAATACGTCCAAAATGTTTACCAGTCTGCTTCTCCCTCTCTAGTCTACCTTCCCAGAAAGAAAACATTACTATGTAAAGTAATTTCAGAAAAGGAGGAAAATCCTTAAATATTTTCAAATGGAATATTTCACCAATTATATTACTTTTAGCCACAGAATAGTTTAGTAATATTATAATTAATTTTACTTATTCTATGCTTTGTTCAAGATCATATATATTGTCTGTCTGCTGAAAACAACCAAACCAATACATACAACAAAATATTACTGTCTCAAGTGCAATCAATAACTAAGATTTTCTAAGATGAATTATTAAATATGCACAGACACAATAAACTGAACTGCATCTAATAAACTCTACATATCTTTAATTTCTAGGCCCATGTGCTTTGTTAAGCAATTGGAGATCCCTCAGTATGGCTACAGAAACAATGTCCCCACCACCACACCCCGCTCCAACTTGGCCAAGGAACTAGAGAAATACTCTAAGACTACGTTTGAATATAACAGTTATGACAACCATGCCTATGGCAAGAGAGCCATAGCTCCCAAGGTGCAATCCAGGGATATATCCCCCAAAGGATATGATGGTAGGAGGTGCACACTCTTATACATGAGAGACAAGTTTGTGGTTAATAATGTTGTTGTATATGTAAACATCATACAAATAAGACATATATTTCATGTTCATATAGTATTAAGGGGAACGCTGTTATGTTTAAATTACTTTAAAGGTCTTGGTATGTGGTGTTTGCTTCAGGATTGTTGCAATGGCCAGAGAACCTTTGTAGCTATTAAGCCCCTGGGATATATTGAGCCCAGAATAAAATCTAAATAAAAGAGCAGCCCATGTGGTACATTAGCAATGTATTTTGCTGCAATCTGGAAGACCAGGCCTCCTGGGTTCCATTAAGAATCTAACTGTCATATAGTAGTTCAAGCAACTCATATAAAGATAACATACTTGTTCTCTGGAGATGAGGAAGAAGGAAAGATGGACCTCATTGTTCTTCAATAGCCACTGCTACTCAGTTAATTAAGGGTGCCTGCTTGTCTTTACCGACATGAGAATGCCAATGGGTTCAGTGGAAGAACTCATGAGAGTCTGATGATCAGGACTTGGATGAAAGTGGCATTAACAACCCAGAATGTTGGGATATCTTCCCTCTTGACAAGAGAAATGTTGTTATGATGTCTGGCAGAGGAGAGGAATTGGGTTAGGAAACAGGATCTATCAGGTGCAAAAGAATGAAGGACTTAAAGTCTCTTATATTTTGGTATTCGGGATCTATCAGAATAACATACACTTTGTGATCTTTAAAATGGTACCCTGGATCTTCTTTTCTCTGAAACATGAAATGATTTATTTTCTTGTTAAAGTACTTGGTATTACTCATTGGCTACCATATGAATTCTCAGACAGGTGTCAAATCTTTGTATAGTAAATTAGAAATAAGTATGGGTTAGTAGAATAATCTCTACTGTTGCATTTAAACAGACTCTGACTTTGAAAAGTCAGAAGCGGGGAATGAAAGCATTGTTATAGCTTCTGCACCCACATTTCCTACATTCTTGGTAGTTTAGCTCTGATAGGATCAACAGGCAAGTTGTTCCACAATAGTGGAGAGCATGGCAGTGACTGTGTTTGTTTATGCGTAAACCTGTCTTTATATCTTAACCTTCCTCTATGCATCCTACTTCTACCTGGGAAAAAATCAGGAGATTGTAAATGATTAAAAACAATGGGCTAATTCTGAGTAGTTCCTGAAATCAGTGGCTTTGCACCATTAGAACTGAAAATGGCATTTTACTTGTTGGGCATATACTTTATCTACTCTTGCAGATAGAAAATATACCAGATTCTACTAGACAGATTATGGGTATGTATAAATGTAGGGAGAATCTTTTCTGGTGTTGAAGTAAGCAGTCAGCATGTATCCTGGTAAAGTTAAGTTAGTAATTCATTCAAGTGTATGCGTAACTCCTATTGAATCAATAGGATTTAAGAATGGATTTAAAATTATGCACATACTTAAGTATTTTTCTGAATTCAAACATAAAGTCTGAATGATTAGGGAGATCTATTTTACTTCATACATAAAAACTCAGCACCCACTAATAAAAACAGAAGTTACCTGCATATACCCAGTGGCCAGAGCTGCAGGGAATTAAACATTTTTTTTCTTTGAAATACTGTTCTTTTTTCTTTCATTGATCCTAGCTTGTTTCATAACACTATTGGTTACTTACAATTCAGTAAAATTCTTCTTCTTTCCCCAAAGCAGAATAACAGATCGCCTAGCCTAATTTTGGCTTACATACTTGTGGTGCGTGCCTTGCTGGTATTGTATGTTCTTGCTGCTATAAAAACAAGTACAAGGTCATATTCTGACGCCACTAAAGAAAACCAATTGGCAGAAGACCTGAGTACATAGGGGCCCGAGGGCCCTGCCCCCCTCCCCCCTCAGAAATAGTGCTGTCACCTGAAATGTGTAAAGCTTTCCACGTGTCCATCATCTTAGCCCCTCCCCTGGCAAAAATAAAAGTTGGTGCCTATGCCAATTGAAGATATGCATTTCATTAAATGTAGACAAGATTTCATCCTCCATATTAAAACTATACCTCTGTGTCCTTAGTTATTGCAGGTGTAAAAGGGAAAGCAATGGTCTCTTTCCAATTTTAGGAAAATGTCTCCTTAGCTGGAGAGAAGCACTTCTAGATGCTTTGTAATCTTTTTAATGACTATCACTGCACTTTCATGCATAAACAGCCATATTGACTATAGGAAGAACACCATTTTTTTTTGTGCAACTACATTTTCCTCTGTATCTTCTTTTAGCAATCTATCTGGCCATTTTTGTCCCTGGCTTTATGCTGTGGATGCTAAAGCACATTGGCAATGTGTAGGGGGTGCACACAGGTGCACGTGCACCCCCAGAGCATGGCAATGCACCCCTTGCAAAAAGGCACCACCGACACCGCCAGTGGTGTCTGCAGGCAGTCTGCGATCATCGCTGGCCATTGCTGCTGCTGTCGGCAGTGTCTGCAGGTGGTCGCCAACCAGTAGTCAGTGCTCGCCCCCCCACCGCTTCCAACAATACTGTTGCCACCTGCGGGAGCTTGCCATGCTCCCCTCCCCCCCGCCGGGGGCATGCGACATTCATGCTAAAGCATGCACACAGTGACTGAGCATGTACATACAGCTATGCACTGGTCAAGTAAATATTTGGCTACATGCATATGTACCTGAGTATAAGTCCCAGAAAACTGAGGAGAGGAAGACGAGATAGGCCTTCCAATGTCTTAGCCCCAGTAGCTGGGTGTTTAAGGCCCTTACCAGGAAGCAAGCAGTTCTTGATCTTCCTCAAAGGGGGTTTGAACTTTCATCTACTCAGACCTCCTAGCACAGTACTCTATTGATCATAGCATAGGTCCTCTCTCTAGCTCCCTTTTTGAGGCTAAGCCACTGCCTGGTACATTGAATAAAATAAATGGAAAGAAGTGCTAGAGGGGGAGAGTTTATGCCCTATCAGATGCAAGGGTCCAGGCTGAAACCTAGGACCATTTGTTCCATTTCCAACAAGCCACCATCTCCCTGAGCCACATACCCTCTGGCTCATTATCCTACACGTGGTCCCAGTTCTTTGCTGACTAAGGAGCCAGTTTCAAAAAGAGGTCTAACCCCTGCACTTTTAGGATTAAAACATGGGGTCTAACACCTGCTAGTGATGGGTTTCTGGCTGGCTATATTTTCAGGTCTTAGATGTAGGTATGTGCCCAGAATCAATGTGTGTACATAGTTGCATATGTGCCCATTCAGTGCATAGTCCACTGAGCCTCACCAGTCCATAAACATATTCCTACATGTCTACATTTCAGGGGAATTAGAATTTTCACCTGTGCATACATGCCAAAAATGCCAGTTATGCAGATAGAAAACTTTAGACACACAAAGGGAAATAGGCTTCCAACCCATCTGCTATTGAAATCATCAGAGAGGTTTGTACTGTATTTACTTGAAAACAATGTTTTTTTCTCTAGTCAGTATGGGGGGGAAACAGCCTTGTCTTGGATTCAAATACCAGCCTGAGACAGGTGGCAGTTCAGCTCTAGCTGTGGCCCCACGCATGGGACTGAAGCCAGAGTTGAACCACTGCCTGCCGTGGGCTGGAATGGCTCGTTTGGCAGGGGAGGGGGCACACAGCCAGGGGAGGTAGACTGGGGGTGGAGGAACCTACAGGGAGTGGGGCAGGGAAGGCAGCGGGAGGGCATGTGGTAGGGGGGTGCATGATGGGGGATGGGCAGCAGAGGGGCCAGACTATATCTGGCCTTTTACCCCCCCAACACTGCTTGCCCTGCCACAGATGTGAGGTGGACAAATTTAAGACCATCTTCCACTGATTAGATTCTGTACATGGAAAATTATAACCATGTTATAGTTTTCCACGTATAGAGCTTAATTACTGGGGGAGTTGTCTTAAACTCCAAGTTGTCTTTGTTTTGGGTTAGTACAGGGAATAGATTACTATAACATAAGACTGATTTATTTCTGAACAATGTACTCTCTTAGAGGCATCCTAGGATTCAGTGGGAGACTGAAAAGTAGTTGGAGGTGAATTCTGTTGGACAGAATGCAAAATCTGCAAAATTTCTGCAGAATGCAGAAATACAAATAGTATCAAGGGTCAGAAAAAATGACTTAACCTTTGAGTCTTTGTTTAATATAAAAAGTCACTAGGATGAGTAACCTGGGAATAGATAACTCCCCCTGGACTGTCCTTTTTTTTTTCTTTTTCAAGTAGACTTTAACAATAACTGTCTAAGGAAGAGACAACTTATGTTGTTCATTGTAAAGCCAGGAAGATTCTACAGGAGAACTGCTTTATACTGAATTGGGTTTTCTTGTTTGCTTTTTGTGTATGGAGCTACATGATGGCATTATTTTATATGGCTTAAAGGGAGACAGCAGCATGACCCAGTATTCAAGGGAGACAGCAGAATTTTTCAATAGAAAAGCCATTCAGGTGATGTTGGGGCGCTTCTTCAAATTTGTTCCCAAGCTCCTCAGGTAGTCAAGCAGTCCTCTCTGTTCCCTAGTCCTCTCACTTCTTTGCATTGGGACTGAAAAATCCTAAAGACTTAGGGAACATGAGAGTTGGAGAAAGTGTTGGAGCTATGATTAACTTAACCACTAGACAGAAACTTCTAGACCTTAGGATATTGGGCTGGATTTAATTGTTTTCCATTCTATCTGTTTGGAGAGGGCTCCATACCTGACACTGGACAGGGCTCCTAGTGCTCCCCAGTTTAGAGAAACATGCAAAATAACTGAAAAACAGAAGCTGACAGCCATTATGCCCCATGGCATTCATTTACAGAGAAATAAGAGCCCAAGACCCTCTTGGAAATGAAGTAGTTGGACAAGCAATCTGAGAACTATTATGGCTATCTCTTGATGGGAGGGGCTGCTCTCTTTATTCTGGTTCACTGCTGACCATAGCCACCAGGAGACTACAGAGCTCTCAAACACAGTGACATGCACACAGAATTTCAGTTTAGGCTTTCCTGTGTATTATACTATATGTCACTTCCACTCCCGTTTGCTACATAGGGATTTCTGGAATTCACTACAGTCAGGTTTCCACATTTCTTTGTTCAAGTCTAATGTGAGATAGATAACTCAGATTGTGTCAAGTGTTTAAAACCTGTACAGTGAAAATCAAGATAAAATGACTGGAACCATACCTGACAGTTTTCAGGCAAGAAAGCTGTTTTTTATGATATTGGTAAAACAGAAGCTAATAATGATACTTAGAAATGTATTGACCTTCAATTTATTTATTTACAAATTACTCTTCACAACACAGCTAAGCATATGTATTATGATTTCTTCTCTATTGATGGGAAAAATAAAGCAGAAAAATCATGAGATTTGACCAGGCCACAGAGGGAGTCTGTATCAGAGTCTGGAGGAGTTTCTATCAGTTAGACCTGTGTAGAGTTCTCTCTCTCTTTCTCTCACTCTACATGCACGTATATATAACACCATTTATTGTCTGTCTTATATTTATTCAATTTTAATCTACTATAACATTTGTAATATGTCTTTAGTTTTCTGCAAGGGGTAGAAAAGTAATTATGTTATTTGTTCATTTGAAACAGCCCCCATTTGGCAACTTGTGTGTAAAGTAGTTGCTGTTAAAAATACAGCACTACTGTCTTAATTGTAACCAAAATCCTGTCTATCTTATATATTGGAAAATAATTGAGTGTCTTGAATATCATAACAAGGTATCAATGGACAAATGCTGAATTTTTAATGACCACCAACAACTACCATTTTAATAATGAAACTCTTGAAAAATAAGTCACGCACATTCTCCATGAACACTCAGAGAACAACAGTGATCTAAAGGGTGAAAAACCAAAGAAACTTCATGAATGCTTAACATTCACTTCATTAAAAAAAATCACACCTTGTGCATTATGTGGGTTTCCTGAGAAAACTCCTTCATCTGCTATAAATTAAGCATTTTTTCACATACTGTAAACATTGACTTCATTGCGCTGTCCAAAAAAAATGATAATGAAAAGGACAGAGTAAGCACTGTATGACAAAGTCTACTCCTGGACTCCAGTTGAGGCATATATGCTTTTTAAAGCAAAACCTAATCTATAAAGAGGCTGAAGGGAACAGATTACTACATATATGTCAGCTTAAACAGACACACCTGAAGAGACTGGCATTCCAATTGAAACTACTGGGGAAGAGCTCCAACTAGTGTGCTGACCTTTTATACAGAACTCTAACCAACATATACTTGTATATTTAATAGAACAACGTCTTGCACTTATACATTATTATGCAGTATGATCTCTGCAGTATTCAGAAATACACCTTAAGGGGAAAAAATCACCATAACATGTATGTATCTCTTGACATTCTGATTTGTGTTATATGAAAACATAGCTATGCCCAGTCTTATTAAAACAACAGGCACTTTTTTATCAACTGTTAATGAATACACTTTTTTTGAGCAACTTCTTTGGATAAGTTGTTGAAGGAATCTGGGGGGAGGCAGGGGAGGAGCATGTATTTCATTTTCTCTAGGTAGAAAATTTTAGTATTCACTAAAAAATGAAACCCTGGTGAAGTGTTTAAAAAAATGAATTGTATTGTGCAGGAGAAAGTGCCCAATGTGTTTCACTGATTCTGTCATGAACAGCCGTTGTGATTTATAGTATGTGTCAGTGAACATGTAGTTAAATGCATGCCTATAGCCTGATTATGAGAAGTGCTCAGCATCCCCAGATTGTGTTGTTTTTAATGAGGGCTATGGGCTCTGAGGACCTCTGAAAATCAAGCAGTTTAATGTCCTTTTCTATTCATATTAATTTTTTTTATTGTTTATGAAGCTCCCACCTCCAACTTCAGCCAACACTCACCCCTTCATTCTGCAACCACTCTCTTTTCTGATTTTCCCCCACTTCCTCTCCCTGCTATTGACCAATGGCATGGCATTTGTTCGTGATTTTGAAAGAAAGACTACTCTGATTACCCAAGACATATGGTTAGCACTTTGGCCCAAAGATCAAGCATATTATTACTATGAGCTTGATCCTCACTAGGTCCAGGGAGTGGGATCCTCACTAGGTCCAGGGAGTAAGATCTCTTATGAATCTGGATTTTCTGCAAATTAGCAGAACACTAGTAATGCACTAGAATTCATTACAAAAGAAGGAATGACCCAAAGAGCTTGCAGCTACCATATGAATATGTAAGCAACTCTTCCCCTGGAGTAAAAGCAGTATTTCCCTGTGCCCTTAATTCATGCACAGTGCTTGTTTGCTAAATCTGGCCTGCTTTTCAGTACACTACATGGTCACATTAAACACATCTTTCATTGTTTTGAATTGGATGTTTAATACACGCACACATTTTTGGCATGTAAAAGTTGCACAAAAATCATGAAATGCATCCATCATTTTTATTTCCTTTTTTTTTTAAACTACCACTGTTGCTCATAATAAACTTCACCCCCAGCACACTGTTTTTCTTTTCACTTATGTGATATGCTGGTACTTTTGAGTCATCCTTGTCATATTTCTTCCCACAGCTAAACGTTATTGTAAGAATTCAAGCCCAACCAGCAGCACAACAAGCAGTTATGCCCCTAGCAGCAGCAGCAATATGAGTTGTGGTGGAGGCAGCAGTGCCAGCAGTACCTGCAGCAAGAGCAGCTTTGACTATACCCATGACATGGAGGCAGCACACATGGCTGCCACTGCTATTTTGAATCTCTCCACTCGCTGCAGGGAGATGCCTCAGAACCTCTCCACTAAACCTCAGGATCTCTGTGCCAGGGTAAAAATGAGCAATTATGTTTATTGATGAAGCTGCTTCTTTACTTCACTAGTTTTGAGCCCCTGATAGATTGAAGAATAGCTTTAATACTTGCTTAATCTTTTTCTCAAAACAACTGAAAAATCTGGAAGCTCTGCTAAGGCAGGAAAATAAAAGATAAAGATGCAAATTACTCATCAGTAGCTCTTGAAATACAGATCAGTGTATACAGTTAAAATGGTGCTGATAAAATGTGTTGTGCTGTCTTTTAATCCTTCTCTTACTGAGAGAGTCTATAGTAAGTATAAAAGCTATTTGGGTTGCTTAAGTGGTATTAATTGCACTATAGAATTTTTTTTTACTAAACACCATTTGATTCATAAATTGTAAGAAAGGATTACAGTTTAATAATGTAATTTAATAAATAAATCAAACATGAGCCCTAAGGTTTTAGGATCTAATACAAAGAAATCTATGCTACTTGTACATAAAAATGTCTCACCTATCCAAAGTATATAATAGCTGTAAAATCACTGCATAATCCATTAAAACAAACAATAAAATCTACCACTACACATAACTTCAAAGTTGCATAACAGTAATAATGAAGTGTCACCAATGGTCTTTATTTTACTAAACTCTCAATCTCTTGTTAAATGCGAACAGAAACCAATGAAGTAAAGTAATTTTGAAGTTTACCTTTATGTATAGGAAACCTAGCATTATTAAAATTAATCTGTTTTTTGAAACACCGTAAGAACAATTTTATTTTGCTACAAACATCTGATTCTGACAGCTGAGGGGAAATGACTATTTAAAATGCACCAGCAACCAATAAAGTGGTACCTATAGGAGGCCACTAGATGGCTAAGTAGACAGATGCAGTGCAGGGGATACAGTTTTATTGTGCTTATAGAAGAGCTTTTGAGCTGGCAGACATGTTCTGCCCTTCTCCAGACAAACAAAGGTTTTCTTTCTCCTATTGTGTAAAGATTTTTGATTATACATAACAAGTTAACAACCTTAGCAATTAGTGATAGCAATTAAAGATAATCTTAATTTTTATGAATCCAGACAGATTAGTAACTCTGTTTTCAAATGCTTCCTTTTTTAATTAATTGATGTATTTCTGTAGATGAGGGGAAATGTCTTTGTGGAATGCAAGTAAATGCAGTCGTGTGCAATACCAACAGGAATGGGAACATCCAGAGCAATAGCATTGTAAATATTGTGTGGCATAAGGAGATGTTACCCTCTCCAGACACACTAAAATATATATGCTAAATGGGGAAAGATAAATATATTATCAAACATATATTAATATGAAGGCAATAATCAAGTATAGGTTAGAATAAAAAGTATCTATCAAGGAAATAGCCCAAAGCAAACAATTTTGAGTCAGTGTGTCTTCCTGCAGCTCTGTTATTACCTCAAGAGGAAAGAGAGCTGCTAGACATCTAAGGAGGCAGCAGCATTCACACCAGTTCTGAAATCAAATTTCTGGTGAAGAGTTTCACCCTTGAAAAATGAAGGATTGTTGTGAGCATTTTGTGTTTTTAATGTATGTCCTATCCTTCCCGTAGAAAGAGAAAACGGAAAAAAAGAAACAAGATTTGAAATAAATAATTCTTGGTCTGTTTCCAAAAGGGAAAAAAAATCCCCTACCCACTCTGTATTTCACAGTTCCTCAGTCACTGCAGGGAATGTCAGAACCAGCTTCTTTGCCCAAGCCAGCTGATTATAAAGATAGACTTTGGAAAGTTAAGACATATTAAACCTTAACATCTGTGATGAAGGATCTGAGAGCTCTTAATAGTTTTCTCCTCATATGACAATGGAAAACATGGTGCAAATAGATTTTACTTAATAATCAAAAGCTCTCTTTCTAAATCTTTAACTATTAGTATCAAAAGAACAAAGCATTTTCTTGCTTTCTTTTTTCTTGCTTTCTTTCTTTCTTTCTTGCAGTTAGATACTACATTCTACCTGGTTTTTATTGCCCTAGTCACCTAAGCAGGTGTTAGGATTGGAAGTAGCCAGAATCATGCAGATGTTAACTCAGAGAGACTAACCTGTCAAGAAGTAAATCAGAGACATAAGGGCAGCAACCAGAAAATACCTTCAGAGATTTAGCCTTTCATTTACAAATTTTACACCTGTTTTCAAGGAGGTGGTAGTGAGTAGTAGGATGTCTCCCCTTTAATTTTTTTTCCAAATTTCAAATGAACCCTTCAGGAAAATATGAGTGAATCTACTTTACCAGCATTAATGTTGTGTAACAGAATCATGCTATGTGTGGGTGGGGGCTCAATACTTACAATCTATACAGGCATGGTAAAGCTTTTTATCATTCTGCTAAGCAATCAGATTAAAAACACAGAGAGGTAACAGTGTGATAGTGGGAAACTGAATTAACAATATTTTTCTTATTTTGACAGAATCCTGATATGGAAGTCGATGAAAATGGAACCTTGGATCTAAGCATGAACAAACAGAGGCAGCGAGATGGTTGCTGTACCATTTTGACACCGCTGGAGCCAATGTCGCCACAACGACAAGCTGTGATGAATAATCGGTGTTACCAACTGAATGAGAGCGACTGCTGGGACTTACCAGTGGACTACACTAAGATGAAGCCCAGTAGAATAGATGAAGATGATTCCAAAGAGATTAATGTATGTCTTTTTCATCTATGGGGTCTCATTAAATCTGATTGTTTTAATACGTTAGTTTTCTAAAAATTTGGTAGGAAAATACATGATGAACAAAAATAGATGGTTACCTACAAAAAATACTTTCTGCTGGTGAATTTTTAAAAATATATCATATTTGCACACATCTGATCCATGATTAACTCCCTTCAAACAACATTTGAACCATGAATGTGAATCATGTTTCCTAACAGCATTGTCTTGTTTAAATGTATTTTCTTCTGTGAAAACATTCTAACATTTTCCAAATGATCTTATCCTAGCTGAGTAAGTTGGCATAACTTTTTACAATACTGGAATCAAGGTTTAACCAGCTTTCAGGACAAGATGTACTCTTCATATTGAAATTTTAAAATGAAATACTAAACATGTAAAGTATGCTTTACACAGAAATCCATATTAGAAGCAACTGTGGAATACAGGATGAATTTTCATCTATTTGACCTAACCAGGATTTTGCTTGTTAGAAGGCCTGTTCCTGAATTATCCGTGCATTCATGATTTCTATTACTGTTCAATGGACTTTACACCTTATTAGTAAAATATTTTATTTCTAAAGTATAATGAAGGGCTTGTGGATGTCATTGTTCCTTTCAAATTCACGTTGCTCTATTCTGTAAACAGAAAGGGATATATGAAGGGAATTTGGTCCTTAGTGACTCTCTATCTGTTTTACACTGTACATTGTAGCATGGCATGTATTTTCCATTAGTGCTCTGAAAGGGTGCTCCTGACATTTGCTAATGCAGCAGTTTTATTTGTGATGCTACTTCTTGCATTCATCAGGTTTCAACTCATGCTCATCATACTCTGTGCAGGATTTAACCCACTCTAATCTAACCAGGATTTTACAATTTCAGATTTTTGTAGTAGTAATTTTTTCTCTCTCCAGATCTATGTTACAAGATTAATAATTTCCACAGTAGTGTGTAGCAGGATGTCTCTTCAATTTATTTTAATTATAGCTTACTATGTCACCATTTTTAATAGTTTTGAAACATGCAAGATAATAGCATTTGGTTTTTTCCTCACTGAGTACTGTCCTGCCTCCACTAAAGCCAATGAGTTTTACTATTGATTTCACTGGGTCCAAAATATCCCTCATTATCTAAGAAAAGGGAGGTAATGCAGACTTGTATAGCATCCTTACTGAAAGAAACAGAATGATATTTTAACTCTGGTGCTTACAGCACCATCTACAGGAAATTCTGCATTCAGTCACTTTTCCTTCACCTCTGCTTTCAAATTTCAGAAGGCTGAATGCATCAGTAAAGTTAATTATAAATTACAAAATGATATTTTGCCAGGCAGATCCATTGAGGCTTGCCCCAGATTATGATACTATATGTGTGTATAGCAATGGCCATAATCATTGTTCCTGATTCATTGTTAAGGGACCTAACACTTTTAAAATATTATTTTTAAGTTGGCACTTTGATGTATAAAATATTATATTTAGGGTTTGGATTTTTTTCCTTGGCTGTGTTTTGTACAGTATGGTGACTGGGAAAAATGACTGATTCTTTGGAATGAGAATAACTGTGACCAACAGAAAATATCTGTTTTTTTTCCTTTCTTCCTTAATTTTGAAAACAATGTGATTCTCTTTCATGTGTTTAGAAGTGTGTATTGAAATGTAAATGCACTATATAAAGGCTTAGTAGGTGAGAAAAAATGTAAAATAATGTCAGTATTTTTCTGACTGAATGGACATAATGGAGGTGCTATGTTGGATAGCTCTACATTGTGTTGTGTCTATGTATATTGTGGCCTCACCTAAGTGGGACTAATATCTCTGTGTTTGCATGCAGCCAGAAGACTTGGATCCTTTCCAAGAGGCTCTTGAAGAACGAAGGTACCCTGGTGAAGTTACAATCCCAAGCCCCAAACCCAAATACCCTCAGTGCAAAGAGAGCAAAAAGGATTTAATAACGTAAGCATAATGTGAGGTGAAATTATTTTTTTCTCCTTTTAACCTCTTCTCTCTTTGTCTTTTTTTAAACAAACGAGTACATATACGCCTTGCAGTATGAGCATGCAACATTTGCAGCATATAAATGTTTCAAACTGCCAGTTAAGTAAAGTGATAAGCTAATGTGTATTTGCTTGTTCTTAATGATGCTATATTGTATTGAGACGCCATTTTCATTTAATCCTGTTCATTTTGCAGCTTTTCGATAGGATGCTTAAATCCCCTTGCAGTCATTGCAGCTAAACTGGAAACAATGAAACTTTTAAAAGTTTTTTTTTTTTAAACATACTTACTATTTTGGCTGTTTTTGTTTTTGTTTGGTGGCAGATGTCCAACACCAGGGTGTGATGGGAGTGGTCATGTGACTGGTAATTACGCCTCACATAGAAGGTGTGACTTCATTTTTTTCATGGTGGATTCTGTCTTTTCAATTTATTGTTTTCAGCTTACCTCAACAATGCTGTCAAAGTAAAACGTTGAACTATGTGTTAACCCTTTGAGTAATATATGTTGACCTTAAAGCATGCTAATTTGTGTGTTGTATAAACGTCTTTTATTTTTAAATAGATTACTAAAATTTCCAAAGTATTTTAAAACTTTTAACTAGTTAACCCAGGACCACAAATATTTTTGTTACACTTTACTATTCTATAAAACCAAAAAAAGGACTTTAATAGTATGTAGTATTGGAAGTAAAGTTTATTTATAAATATATTCAGAGGGTTAACTATATTACAAAATTCAATATTACAGCACTTGCCCCATCGCTTTTCTGCATTACAATTTTTATTTTTATTTTTTAATCTTTATGTTGTGTTTGTTTGGGAGAGCTAGTTTTATAGGTGTGTTGACTTACTTGGATATCCTGCCATGTCTTACAGTTTATCTGGGTGCCCCTTGGCTGACAAAAGCATTCGAAGTATGCTGGCCACAAGCTCACAAGAACTCAAGTAAGATATAAAGAAAATCATTCTCTTTATGTATTTGCTCACTATTTGTATATAATTATTTCAAAATATAGATAGGCTATTTGAGAAGTCACTAGCTGACACTTAGGGACTAATCCATGCTAGGAACTTCCATTTTGATCATTAGGAGTGCCACACAGTGGTCAGACTAGAATTAAATCTATTTATTTGGTATATGTTGATATATCTATTTTGGTTAGTCTATAAATGCAAATCTACTCTGACTTTTAACTGTCTTCTGTGCATACAGTATATGTTAAGGATGGGCAGACTTCTGAAGTTCTGGAGTTCAAGTTTAGACAAGTTTTGGAGTTCAGGTTTCTATATTTTTTAATCCCAAATCAAAATGTATCCAAACACTCCAAGCTTCTTGAGTTTGTCAGTCTGAGCTGGAGACCTCATGAGAACAGATGGGTGAAAATATTCCCAACTGCAATTTTGGCAAAGCAATTATTTATTTTTTTCAGAACATCAATAAAATGGTCATTCTTGAATGAGGCAAAAGTTTTTAATTTAATCTGAACCAGTTTGTCTATCCCTAACTCATGTCTTATTTTCTCCAGGTTTACATCAAAGCTATTAGCCTAATGCATAGTCCCACTTGACTACTTTTTCTGGAATTTTCTTAGATGTTCTCCTGTCTTATATTTTACATACATTAGAATGAAAATATGTGAGAAGTGTAAGTTAACATTAGTTTTACATTTAGTTATCTTTTTAAAATGTGAAAAAACCCTGTAGTTTTTCCATGATTAAATTGGGTCTTTTAATATTTACAGAGATTAAATATATTTATGTAGAATAATTTGCTGTATACAGAGTTGTATAGAAAGTTATAAAATTCTTGGTAAAACTCTTAATTAGAATCAGATAGGAAAGGTGTAATATCTAGCTTTTAATTATTCCAAAAAAAAAAGCCACATGTTGTAAATTATCAACATTTGTAATTAATAATTCTACTCAAATGTTGTAACCTCCATCAAAATTTTATATAATCCATTATGGTAAAGTAGTATTAAAGGTCTACTTTCACTTGTCTCCTGAACCTGAACTTTTGCTGAAATTCTGCTCATGGAAGGGGTAGGGGAATGAATAATCACAGGTTAGTGACTTTCCTCAACATGTCCATAGTACATAGGAAGCAAGTGCAGAGGTTCAAATTAAAGAAAAATAGAGTAGGGAAGCATAAATAGGTACCTTTTGCTGATCTCTGAATTTACTGAGGAATATTCTCAAGTATTATGCAGGGATTTTACCTCTCATGGCCTGAGTAGCCTTAAGTTTATATGTGGACTGTTGAGGCAATGAGTCCAAAAGCATGGGGACTGTTTTAGAAAGTCAGCTGCTAAATTCAGGTTACTCTTTAGATTTACATAACAGGTTAGTAGGTTCTCAAAGGGGTGAGAGGCTCACCTTGCTTAATCACCAACTCAAATATTATAGGTTTGTACTTTCAGTTCAACTGTTACAGGTATCTCATTCTACTTAAAAGCTGGTAGTTGGGGTAGGTAAAGAGCCAAGAGAAAAATAGATCCAGGAAAAGCAGAAGGTGAGATGAAGCAAAGTACATAGAGTAGAGAACAGCTATAGAGAGTATCTTGGACTTCGAAACACGTAGTGAATGGGGAAGAGGTAAACAGTAACAACAGTGGTTGAAGGAAGTATGACTGTATAATGCCATCATCTGTATGACTCTTGGGATAGCAGGAAGAATGTGTTCGCTAGAACCCTATGTGGCACTGTCAAAGAAAAATGTAATTTAAGTTGCCCAAAGTTGTACTTCGGGAGCATTGTCTTAAACTTTATGAAGAAAGTGGTTTATTGTCATCTTCTTCATCCCAGGCATCACTACCAAAGTGTTCTGAGACTCCCCATGCCTGAAGAAGGGTGACTGCACCCGAAAGCTTGCCAAGACATTTTTTTCCAACTGCTCAGTTGGTCTAATACAAGATATCACATCTACTCAAAGAACCTTGCCTGCCTATGTCCTTAGACGAACATAGCTACAACCCAAAACCCATCAGATACTTCAAAGCACTTGAAGAAGTAGGCTGTCGCCTATGAAAGCTTATGCCTCTCCAAACTGGTTAGTCTCTAAGGGTATGTGTAGACATTACACTAAGATAGACTTAACTAGGGTTAGGTCAATCTATACAGATGTTTGGGGAGAATAAATCAGGTGAAAAGTGGCTATCCTGATCCAACTTTCTTCACCTTAGGAGGTGAACTAAGATAGATCAAGATTGGGTTGGCCCAGTCTAATAAACACCTGTACATGTTCAGAGAGCAGTCATGGGGCTGGGAAAGCCCAGCCACTTGTCCCAGCCCTGGGTCTGTGATTTTCTTACCATTGCTGACTGCCCTGACTGGGATAGTTTTAGCCTCAACCCTCTCACACACAGCAAACCTCCCCACAACATGGATCCATTAGCTGACCCCAATCTCCCCGCCCTGATTTACTTAGATCTAGTTCCCAGCCTCGTTCCTGGCACCAGAGAATGTCTGCACAAGCGGGGCTTGATCTATGATCACGCAGCTTAAAATAAGCTGCATGATCATCAGTTGTGTCCTGCAAGCGTGTGTAAATACCCTAAAGTGCCACACTGCCCTTCTACCAGACTTTAAACTAACATGACACCCTCTTTCTCCACAACTGTCAACCCTTCTGCCCCACCCCTTCCAATCTGCCCCAGAAATATCTCTTCTTCATCCCTAGCTCCTGTCCCAGTCCCATTATCCTCAGCTAACTAGTTTTAGTTCTTCTCCTCCCACCTTTTCATCCTTCCAATCTCAGCTTCCACTGCTAAACTACTTGCCTAGTATCAGTAGACACCTATACATGTGCCTGACACCTGCTCTGATGCACTCCAGCAGCCTTGGCATCATGTGTAATTGAGTGTCCCCATGCTTCAAAATGGTGGCGGGCATGCATTAACTTAGGCTTGTTGAACGAGCTTTAGTTAAAGTGCCCCAGCCTCTGTTTTGAAGCACAGGATGCTGAATAAATTAAATGCTGTGGGCACTTTAATTAGAGCAGTTCCTGAAAGCCGCTGTAATTAAAGATACCCTCCCCCCAGGAGTACTGTTCCTCACTCCATTCCTTGTCCCCATGTCTTTTCATTGACAGTCCTTGTCTTTCTCAGCCCACACCACAGCTCTTTATCATATATTGTCTCACCTTTCTCCTCACCTCCTTCCTTCTTTTTATAAGTCCCACTCCCCTTGTCCAGCCTCAGTCTTCCCCAGAGGTTATCAACCAATTTCAGTCTCCCTCTCTACCTGCTATCCCATTTCCCCACTTCCCATGATAGTACCCAGTCCCATTGTCCTTGTCGAATCAAATCATCTTCCAGCATCTGCTCCTGCTCAAAGTCTGGTTCTTATTTCCTATGTATTTAAAACATGCTGCTTGAAAACACAGGAGAGATCTCCTCATGCTTTTATTTGTGCTATCCAGACATGATGTGGTCCACAACAGCCCAGAGCTACAAGTGTATGGAAAAGTTAGCTCAGCTTGAGATACTCTTTAGGGAATTTAGATGCTAATAATTTAAGGCTCTACTTGCATGTGTAAACTTAGATTTTCCAAAGACTTGGCCAAATTTAGGAAGACTGTCTCAAAAGTAGATTCCTGACATGGTGGCCACCCTATGCCACAGCCAAAGCAAGAAGTTCTAGAGCTTTTTAAAGAAAAGGTTGCCCACTTTTTTTAACATGGACAAAATAATAGCATTTTCTTAGCCTTGTTATTGAAAACATCTAATTTTTTTAATTGATTTTTTTTTCTGGAAGGGCCATTTGAGGTAGACATCCAACACGGAAAATTTGAGGGTTAAAGTTTGGCAAAGAAAAAACCCTGAAAACAGGGTCTGAAGTAGGAATGTGTGAAACCATTTTAAACATAGGTAATACTATCTTCCTTACCTATAATCATATACATGAAAGTGATAGCTATACAACACGTTGCAAAATTATTGGATAATTATATTTATTCATGTTTTAAGTGACAGTTCAAAGGGCACTATCTTACATTTTTTAGAACTAAGAGCTGGTGTAGTATGCCATTGGAAAGGGAATATTCCAGCTTGTTTTTAGAACCTACTTCCTGTGGAAAACTCCAAAATAGACTATTTAAATATGTAATATTTTGAATGCATAAAAATTTAGATAATATTGAAGTGCTTTGTGAATGGAGTAGAGCAAGGGTAACTTAAGTTAATAATATTAGTAAGAAAATAGTTCTTAATGCCAAAAAAGGCAAAATAAACTATTAAAACTTCTGTAAAACACTTAGAAAGCAGGTTTCCCTAACTTACAGCATATCCAGAACACTTGGTGGTATAGTATGATATAAAGATTTTAGTCCTGGACACCTTTATAGCACATGGTACAATGTATGTTATCCCTCTGTGTATTGATACAATGCACTCAAAAGTATATAGTATGCAATTTTCAACTGGAATTTTGCCAGGACATGGTGATGAACACATCTATGCCAAAAGAACCATGGAATGTTTAATGACCATACATAGCTTTCTGCTTGCTCTAGATTGTTGTAATAACAACATACACATATCCTTTTTTCACACAAACTATCACAATCAATTAGATATGTTAATCTGCTATTCTTTACTTCTGTTCAATTTTTTCTGTGACATACCTGTCCCAAAGAGATCAATATATGCAAAAAAGGGTGAAATTTACTTGCAGAATCCTAAAAGCAGTTCTAAACTCTGTAATTCCTGCTCACTTTGTGATTGGGGTTTGCATTAGTTCCTATATGCAATTGAGAAGGAAACATCTGAAGATGGGTGGAGGAAGAGGCCATAGGATCTGCATGTTATTATAGGCTCCAAAGGGAGGCAAACCAGTTGCTGGTTTTGCAGAACTGGTTAATGTGTGTATGTGTGTGTGTGTGTGTTAAGTATATGAGTGTACGTGTATGTGTATACACACACACACACACATATACATATACACAT